ATGCGGTGGAAATACACCATCAGTGCTCTCACAACCACCTTGCAGCATAATTCATGTTGGCAATGACTTTGATGGTAGCAACAAAAACATTTTTGTTGGGAAGCACAATCGCCCCTAAAAGTTGGTTCATGCATTCCGCACCCTGAGCCAGACATGAGTCAGACCTAAGCCCCGCCCAGGGCTCCCGGCCAGCAGGGCTGCTGGGCCTGTTCCTATTTAGAATCAGCCGCCCTTGGAGTTCTCTCCGGCGCGGCCCCCCAGTGCAGCCCTTTCTGGAGACCCCTCTCCTTGCAGAGGCCCAGCAGCCTCCTGGGCGGCCTCCCGCCCTCCTCCCGCCTCTCAGCCCCGCACACTGTTTGTTACAGGCCTCTCCGCTGTCATTCCAGGAAGGTTTTGGCAGGGCTCTCAGTGCAGGCTCCCTGTCAGTATTCCATTTATTGACCTTTAATGTTCAATAATATTTTTAACGTTTCCTCATACTGGGTGAATAGTTTGGGTATAGAAGTTAAGGTTTAAATAATATTTAAATTAATTTTATATAGAGAGCTAATGATATACTAGGTGTACTACCAGTTAATAATGTGGATTTTCTTCAATAGATGGAGTTACACATATGTTGATATATATGCGATTTGATATGTATGCTATTTTGTTGTATTGACAACAAGCTTCAAAACTTCATATGTCAAATTTGCTGAAGGTGTTCACATCATACATATTTTTACACTTAAAAAGTCAAATTTCGTGCCCAAAAAAGAGCATTTGCAGGAAGTTTTAATTCAGTATTTATTTTGAAGAAAAGTGCTGCTGAATACTTCAGGAAGCTTATGGTGAACATGCTCCATCTCAAGATACTTGTGAGCACTGGTTTAAACACTTTAAAGGTGATGATTTCGATGTGAAAGACAAAGAACGTCCAGGCCAATTGAAAAAGTTTGAAGACCAACAATTACAAACATTATTGGATGAAGATGTGTGTCAAAGTCAAAACAACTTGCAGAGCCCTAACCGGTTTGGCTCAGTGGATAGAGTGTCAGCCTGCAGACTCAAGGGTCCTGGGTTCGATTCCAGTCAAGGGCATGTACGTTGGTTTCGGGCACATCCCCAGTAGGGGGTGTGCAGGAGGCAGCTGATTGATTTCTCTCTCATCGATGTTTCTAACTACTTCTCCCTTCCTCTCTGAAAAAAATCAATAAAATATATTTTAAAAAGAAACAACTTGCAGAAAGATTAAATGTTGCTCAGCAAGCAATTTCCAATCATTTACAAGCAATGGGAAAGATTTTAAAGGAAGGAAAATGGGTGCCACATCAACTGAACGAAAGACAAATGGAAAACCAAAATGTCACCAGTAAAATGTAGCCTCAACTGCATGAAAGTCTTTTTTGCATTGAGTTGTGACTGGCGATGAAAAGTGGACTTATTTTGAGAATCCCAAACACACAAAATCATGGTTTGATCCAGGTCAACCATCAACATCGACTGCAAGGCCAAATCGCTTCGGAAAGAAGACAATGCTCTGCGTTTGGTGGGGTCAGGAAGGTGTGGTGTATTATGAGCTTCTAAAACCAGGTGAAACCGTTAATACTGATCGCTATCGACAACAAATAATCAATTAGAATCATGCTTTGATCATGAAAAGACCGGAATGTTCCAGAAGACACAGCAAAGTAATTTTGCTTCATGATGACGCATCATCACACACTTCAAAACCAGTTAAAGACACATTAAAAGATCTTGCCTGGGAAGAATTAACCCACCCACCGTATTCACCAGATCTTGCTCCTTCAGGTTACCATTTGTTCTGATCGACGGCACACGCACTTTCTGAGCAGCACTTCAAAACGTACAAAGAAATGGAAAATTGGGTCTCTGAATGGTTTGCCTCAAAACAAGAAAAGTTCTATTGGGATGGTATCCACAAATTACCTGAAAGACGGGGGAAATGTGTAGCTAGCGATGGACATTACTTTGAATAAAGCACTTTTGATGTTTCTCTTGAAATTACCATGTTTTCTTGGATTGCAAAATCCGCATTATTAACTGGTACACCTGGTATATCCAAACTGGTACTCTAGAGTCCTGTGTTAAATGCCTGTGGTTTTTACGAGTGGGAGGCAAATAAATGAACCATCGAGTCAACTTATGTTCTTAGTAACAGAGCAAACCCCACCTCTGGGCAAAATAAAATAGGGCATGTTTTCTTTGATTACAAAATCTGCATTATTAACCGGTACACCTGGTAAATTCACTTCTCCATCCAAGCCTAAACTTAAGTAATCAGCTCTAAAAAGCAGAGATGAAACTAAATTTTAAAATGAGCCAGTAAAAGCAGTGCTTGAGTGGATCCTGCATGTCTGTGGTTCCTGAATGCTCTATGTGAGGAACAGAGAGGAATAAGGAGCCTGAGGGACAGGATGCCTCATCCTCCTAGATGTGCAGGG